GGGAACGTGCGTGATCCTCCACATCTGGAATCCGCGTAGGCGAAGTAACCAGTTGTGTCAGACCATATGCCAAGGCAAAATCATGAACAGATCTCCCCGCATGATCCGTTAAACGTGAACCAAGATATTCGGCGTGATGGGTGTTAAAGTCGCCGAAGATCACGATCTCTGCGGAGGGGATCTGCTGTAGCAACGAATCTGTAGCCATTTGGACGTGGTCGAAGAGGCGGTCTGTTTCGACATTACCGCTATGGGACCTATAGAGGCACCCGTAGACGCGCGGATGGTCGTCGCTGTCTACGCGTAGCCAAAGGATGGCCAGGTCCGAACCTTCAAGTCTGCCGAGGCGTCGAGAAAAGATGTCCTCTCTGACGTAAACGCAAACTCCAGCCCGAGGTACAAAGGAGTGTTCCAGTTTCTCCGGGTAGGAGAGATACGAGACATCAGCCGGAGAGGACACCTGCGTCTCGGTCAGAAAGAGCAGAGCCGGCCTCGCCGTCTCGAGACGGTAGTGGACGGCGTTTAGGTTTGAGTGAAGTCCCCTGATACTGCAGAAATTCACGGACAGCGTGGCAGGGGTCGCCTTGGTCTTGTTGCTCCGTTTGCCCCGAGAAGTTGTAGTCTTGAGCGGAATGTCGCCCTCCCCCCCAGAATACGCGGGGCAGCTTGAGCACCCACGTTCAGAAGTGGAGAAACGTGGTCGTGGATGCTCAGCTAGAGATTCTCCAGGAGTGCTGGTACCCTCCTGAGGTAGTCTATCATTATTTAGTTCCGCTACCATGTTGATGGGGGGGGGGGGTTTGAGCCTCCGGCCACCTGCACTCAACAGACGAAACGCGGAAGCAGAGCTTCCACTTCACGCCGGTATTCTGTGAGGTCGTGGTACCACCCCGGTTTGAGCCGGCCCATACGTGCAACAGCAAAGCTGCCGCGTAGCTCTACCAATGTTAAAAGTTGAGTGCTCGGTAATCAATACAAAGCCGACTATCTCCATTATTTTTCTTTACTAGGACAACTGGTGACGCGTAATTAGACTGCGGCTCTCTGATTCCTGCATCCAGTAAATCCTTAACCTTGGCTCGTACAATTTCGAGTTCTTTATACCCTAACCTATATGGCTTATGAAACACTGGAGTCTTCGAAGTCAACTCAATAGTCATTTCAGATAAATTTGTCACTCCGAGATCATGTGAATTAGCAGCAAAACAAATTTTGTAGTCCAGTAACAGCTCAAACAATCGACATTGGTCATAGTCAGATAAATCGTCTACAGCTATGTCAGGAACTGGTGTACTTGCAAGTTTTAAGGTACGTAAATGCTCAAGAGTGTTAGCTGATGTAAAATTCGTTATGTTGTTGACTTGTATTAAATTAGACCCCAGTGGAAGTACATAAGCAAAATTGATTTAAGCCGTCATGTACCAATTCTCATAATTGTAAAAATTTAAATGCTAGCTATAAGTACCGCTGCTAAATTTTGGTCAGTCATTTCAACTATGTGCACAAGTGTTAACAACTATGTAATAAAAGTTAAGCGTAACAACAGAAAATCATCAATAGTTAGGTTGAGTTTGCAGCCGCCTAAACTTAATGACTAGAAAACAGTGACTGACCGTTTTATTTGTATAATTTTGCTTTAATTAAATTATGTAGCGGCTACTGAATCAGGTGAAAGAAGCATAACACACAGTACTTCAGGAGCAGTCAGAATTGTACGAGGGGTGATCCAAAAGTAATGATAATCGGTTACATCTGGTCCGCATAAAAATCCAAAAAAAAATATTACTTTTGGATCACCCCTCGTAATATTTCGTTAATTACAGTATAAGTAAGGCTACAGTTCACACACGTCCCACGGATGGCACAAGCCTTTTTTTGTTGTTGAAATTCAGAATATGAGATGACAGATTGATGGAGCCGCTCACGCACCGTGAATTTCACGACGAGCGTTCCGCCCCAGAGTTACCGCGGCTTAAGTTCAGTATCAGTAAAAAACAATAATGTATAACAATCAAGCTAATTCATATAAACTAGCACAGAAATCATGTCGTTTATGAATATGCAGTAATATTACACTCGAGCATACACTCAACAGACAGAAACAGGTGTGGAACAGAAAGAAACTGGTGCAGATCAGACCAGCACAGAACAGACAGAATTTGTAATACAGACAGAAGGCTCGAAGCCACAGACAGATTAAATATATAAAAACAATTACGCCCCTTCATTTTATTTGCATGTAGTTTCGCATTGTCACAACCTCCCACCCGCTTCTCTGTCGACTCGTTTTGCATAACTTCACACGGCGCAGCTCGTGTAACCAAGTCACCTTTTCTGCATTTTAACTGTTCTTGTCCCATGTTGTAAATGCGTAAATATCAATTTTGTCCAGTTAGTAAGGCAACAGCTACCGCGAAGTATTTGTTATTAAGGTCATGGACTCTCGGTGAAGTGCAAACATCACAAGTAGTGCTGTTCCCCACAATATTAACTTCCACAAATATGTATTCCTGTGGTTGAATTTGAACGTCTGAACAGTTTGTTACTTTATATTTTCCTGAGAAACTATCATCGTATACATTATTTTCTTTCAATATAGCTGAATTCTGAGTTGTGACAAGTGATATGCCTTCAGAGTTAATTACAGGTTGTCCGATCAGTATATCAACTTCGGCAGGCAGCTTCATATGCGTCACTACTGCTGTGGTATTGAAGCTCAAACCATCAATAATCATTGTTAGATTTATTCGACCCATAGCTGGCACTGTATTCCCAGTAAATCCTTTTAGAATGGCATCTGTTGGTCGTACGTCATAATTTAATATTTTAATTGCACTTAAGGATATTACATTTAACTGTGCTCCAGTATCCAAATAACCAGAAAAAATTCTTCCCCCTACCTCCACGCTTTTTTTATAAATATCATTTAAGTTTTGTACTAAATTTCTTGACACGGATTAGCCCTTCGATTTATTCATCATATTTTCTATTTTGGGGCAACGATTTATATTATGTCCGGTTTCAGAACAAAATCTACACACTCCCCTATCCGGAATAGGGCAATCTTTAACCATATGCTCAGTAGAATTACATCTAAAGCAATTCATTCGCCGGGAGGTCGATGGTGGCCAGGGACGTGATGTGGTTGGTATGGCTAAATCAGAATTTTGCTTCTCCGCTTCTAATCTATTATTACGTGTATAACTTATGTTGGTCGATTCTACTTTTCTCAGATCCGGTTTATTTTTATAATTCTCAAAAGCGGACAAGTAACCTGAATAGAATTGTTCAGGCGTTACACATTTGAAATGCATTATTTTGTAAATCGTGTGGCAGCCCTTTAATTAAACAAGAGAGAGAGAGGCGGCGTCGTCTAGTCTACAGCGATGACACATTGCTAATTTATCATGATAATAATGTGTTATTGTTTCATTATGGAACTTTTTCCTGGATACTAATTCTTCTAACATGTCAGCATACTCGAAACTTCTAGGAAATGCTTTGATCAATAAAGATTTCCATTGATCCCAAGTATAATTGCTTGGCCTACAAGACGAGTTTGCATTATGACTATTTTAGAGTAGTCATCCCATTTGTGAACCATACCTAACAAATCAATTTCTGTCAACCAATTTTTAATATTAGTGTCAAAATTATCCGGATCAAACGTAGGTATAATTTTCTCACCCGAAACATTCCGCAACGGCCGTGAATCACCACAAAACTTTTCAACCATCTTTTCTAATTTATCGGTTAATAATTGCTTAAATAACACATTAGGATGTATATCCTCTTCAGAATCACCGTGATTGGATGACCCATGACTATGTATTTGATCTATGTGTAACGTCCCAGCACTAGTCGCGATATCCAAATGAGATCTAGATTTTTTTGAGTTACTGTTTAAAAGGACTCTGTTCCTATATTTTTTTGTTCGCTTCATTTTAAGTTCTTTTATTAATATCCCACTTCTGAATGTAAAATGAAAAGTTTCTTATGCTTCAATACATTTAATTTTCTTGTACAATCAACTGTTCATTATACCTCAATACACTTAATCACTTTAGTTTCATTTAATACTTTCAACACTCGAGTTTATTCTCACAAGACCCGTCGCACACGCCGACGCTCGGATACTTAGTGTCGTGTTTCGGCGCGCCCTGGCGGCGCCAGCCCGCTGGGCATTGCTCGCGTGATTCCGGCAACGACTCGTAACAGCTACTTTACACCAATTTCCACATTTCATGTTTCTTATTTCATTAAAATATCTCCAAAAATTGTTTAACTTTCGAAAGGCCCATATATTATCTAGCACCATTATCTTAAAGTATCGCGGTAAAGTGCCAGTCGCACTACATTTGTCCTGAAAACAAGAAGTTAATTGCATAATATTTTTATGAATATCATTTATCTCGCCATTTTGAAACTTGGTACAATTACAGGGAATGGCGACATTTAAATCCACGATTAGAGTTTTGTGTAAAAATATTTTACTAACACAGAAACATTCTAAGACCAGGACTCCTTGAGAAGCATTTATTCACAACTATCAAAAAGCTTATAGGTTGTCAAAGAGTTATATCCAAGATTACTTTAGATTCTTTAGAACTTAGAAGCTACTTTGCTAGGTTGTATTAACGTTAAATTAAGGTTATGAGGGTTATATTTGAGTTCTATGAAAGTAGTTGGATAGATTCTGGATTTGAGCTATAGGTTTTGCTATAGCTCTCAGAAAGGTTATAAAACGTGGGCCCTTTATGCACACAGGAGGTTAATATAAGGTTATTAAAACGTCATTGAATCTGTTAAGACTTACGAGCGGATTTCCATATAAAGGTTCTAGAACCTTTTCAAAACCTTTCTAAAACCTAAAATGTTACTTGGGAGTATTAATAGCATTTTTAACACATGATTGAGTGTAAGGATCGTATTTTCTGAGTTCATGTGCAATATGATTACCGAATGCTACACATGGATCATTTATGGAAGTTGAACTTTTCTCAATTATGGCAAGTGTCCTTCAATATATTGTCAAGAGAATCATTTTGTGCATTCGTATTCAGCCGTTTTTTCTTTCGCGATGGTTGTGGCAATGGCAATGGTTGTTGTGGCGATGGCGATGGTTCTTGTAGCGATGGCGTGGGTTCTTGTGGGGATGGCGTGGGTTCTTGTGGGGATGGCGTGGGTTCTTGTGGGGATGGCGTGGGTTCTTGTGGATATGGCTCGGGTTGTTGTGGCGATGGCGTCGGTTGTTGTGATGGTCCTGGTTGTTGAGGATTGCTCTGTAAAAATAATGTTTATTTTGTTATTTGCAGACACCGTCCACAGAAGAAGAATGACTAGCAGTATCAAATGAATTTGAAATAAAATGGAACTTCCCACATGTTATAGGGGCTATGGACGGGAAACACGTAACTCTTCAAAGACCCATCAATATAAGTACTGATTACGACAACTACAAGAATTTTCCTAGTATAGTGCTCTTCGCTCTCGTGGATGCTAATTACAAATTCTTGTTTGTTAATGTCGGAAGTAAAGGGCGTATTTAAGACGTGGAGTTTTTAAAAATACGATTTTGTCGAAAATTAGAAAACTGTCAACTGAACATTCCTGAAGCACAGATACTACAAATACCGTACATAATGAAAATACCATATTTCATATTGGGCGGCAAAGCTTTTATGCTTACCAAATATACTATAAAACCATTTGAAGGTAATCCAGAGCCGGGTTCCAAAGAAAGTGTTTAATTACAGACTTAGCAGAGCTCGCAGAGTCGTTGAAAATGCCTTTGGTATTTTAAGTTCAGTCTACAGTCCTTAGGAAACCTATACTCCTAGAGCCAGAAAAAGCTACAAAAGTTGTCTTAGCAAGAGTGTATTTATATAATTACTTACGAAGAAATAACTATTCTATTCCACCAGAATATTATGATAGAGAAGTTGATGGTTCATTTATTCCAGGTCAATGGAAAAACAATATTCCATCTACAGCACTATTACCTCTAATGGCCATTCTACGCAGAGGTACTGTTAGTGCTAAAGATATTCCTCTACATTTAGCAAAACATTTTGTAACAAACGGAATAATTCCATGGCAGCATCAATATTAATGTTCAACTAATTTTATAAAATTTATTATTTTTTTTTAAAAGAGTTACCCCTATACTAGGATTTTCTCCTGTATCGTAGGGGCAGTTTACAAACACAAATTGCACAAGGACAAACATCCAGACCCGGAACAATTATTCGTAGGCCATACAAATACTTGATCCGTGCGGGATTCGAACCCGCGACCCCAGCGCAGCCACTCATAGATAAGCCACTGCGCCACGGAGTTTGAAAATAAACTTAAATAAAGGACTTAAGATATCTATTCCGCCTTCTTTTGTAATTCCTGTGTCATCTTTATTTGACATAAAGTCAAAATATTTGAAACCAAACCACTTCGATATATAAATTTCGTCAGCGCCTGTAACAAATATGTAGATGTTATAGGTTATTTTTCGTTTCCTATGGTGTGTCCTATAGTAAATGTTGTACATATTGATATTTGATAATGAGATTAACTAATCTAACATTCACTATAATTAAATAAAAGAATCCTTACCTGAATCAGTGATATTACTTTTTCTCTGCTTTGACTTTTCGCGTCGGTATGAACCCATCAATGAGTCAAGTAACTTTCTCAACTCGGGTATAGGTAACTTCATTTCCTTGGAGATCTTCCTCCAGCAATGTTCTCGCTTGCTTTTATTTAAATGATCTGGATCTTTCGAATCCCATAACATTTTGAAGCTTCCGTAAAGTTGTATTAAGCGAATACTGTCTTCTCTATCCATTTTTTGATTCACTGGCTCGCGAGTGTCGTTACGTCCGTCCACACCGGGCGAGCAGCTCAGACTGAGCCTCAGCCGCGTTTGAGCATCGGCAAAAACCGACAACGCATGGCTCGGCCAACCGAGCCAACGTGTGCCCGAAGAAGCCCGAGCGCCGTCCACACCGGCCGAACTATTGGCTCGCTCAGCCGGTCTGGACGCGGCTATTCCTTAACACAATATTATTTTATTGACGGGTGCTTTTGGTGCTCTACCACGTTACAGCTATGCTATATATGTATACATAGCTGCAGCACAAATAGGTCGGTTAACCGGGGTAGGACCACGCTCTTACGGAATACTGTTACGCGCTCCAATGCCTCAAATCGGCGCACTAGCGCCATCTAGTCTCGAACCGAAGAACTAAACTTCTTGAAGTTTAAAACTCGAACTCTCGGTACCTTGCGCGTGTTTACTTGAATATTCTGGATATTTTGCTAATTTATATAAGTAGGCGCTGCAAGATGCGATCGAAGTAGACTTGAACTCGGCGACACAAGCGAAGCTTCGGAGCGGAATTAAGTGAATTAGTGTGTTTAATCATTAGTGTTTTAAGTTTTAATTTGTGTAAAGTAAATTAAAGTGTTAATTTAGGTAATTTTATCGGCAATTTTTATTGTCACGAACCCTAAGCTCGTAACAATTGGTGTCAGAAGTGGGATAAAATAATGCCGATTTTACCTAAGGAGGAAACGGAGGGTGTCCGTACCCGCAGTCAACGCCAGCATGAGACGGACCAGAGGAGATTTGGTGGTGCAACGCCGCAGACGTCGGAGGGCCAACTGCCAGCCACGGAGGCTGCGGGCCCGTCAGTAGCTCCTACACCTGCAGCACCTGACTTAGGTGCTCTGATGGCGATGCTACAGGAGCAGCTGCAGCGCGGACAGGAGGAACAGGCTCGCCGACAGGAGGAACAGGCTCGCCGACAGGAGGAACAGGCCCGCCGACAGGAGGAACAGGCTCGCCGACAGGAGGAACAGGTCCGTCGGTTGGAAGAGCAGCTGCGGGGCGGCCAGGAAGCACAGATGCTTCTCATGAAGGACCTTCACGCTACCTTCGGGAAAGAGATAAGGGAGGTGAAGGAGAAGGTGGCTCAACGTGATAACCGCCTGTCGGAAGCTGAGATCCAAATCAACCAAGTTAAGAAAACGCTGGATGAACTCAAACTTGGGGATGGAACCACAGCTCCCGTAGTAGCTTCAGCACCTTCGCTACGTGGGTTCAAGGTGCCACCGTTTGACGGGACTTCTTCCTAGTCAGCCTACAAAATCCAGTTCGAGGCTGTTATGAAGGCGAACGGCTGGAATAAAAGTCAGGCCATGACTGCTCTCACACTAGGCCTGCGCGACCAGGCCTTAACAGTTCTGGAAGCTCTCGGTGAGGAAGTAACTTATGAGCAACTCCTTGAGGCATTGGAGGCGAGATATGGCGACGCTCACCTGGAACACGTCTTTCGTGCGCAGCTTAAAGATCGTGTGCAGCGCATCAACGAAAACCTGCAGCAGTGGGCTCTAGAAGTGGAGAAGCTGGCGCGAAAAGCATACCGGTCTGTACCTGCGCTCATTGAAGGGAACCTGGTGCAGACATTCATCGACGGCATCCGCGACCTGGAAGTCAGAGCTGCTGTGAGGCTCGGGCACCACGAGACGCTTAAGGACGCCTTGGCCCATGCACTGGAAGTGGAAGCCGTGCGGCAGGATCATCGTTCCCATCGCGTCAGGGAGGTTGCAGCAGCTACAGTTCGCGACCGCAACAAAGGATACAGCCCAAGGTGCTATGGCTGTGGGGAAAAGGGCCATCTTCGATCCAGCTGCCCTAAGCAAACCCTAGAAATGGAAGATGAACGATCCCAGAAGGGTAGTGCGGCCAACAGCACCGCCCAGCAGCAGCAGGGAAACGAGTAAAAGCCAGAACTGCGGGGCGCGTGCTGGCTGATGTTAAAAGAGCCCCAAGGATCTCGATCTCACAAACCCATGGTGGGAACAGTCTAATCATCAAGGGCGAGGTCAACGGAATGCCGTGTAAACTGACCATAGACACTGGAGCCTCTCGTACGGTTGTTAGTTCCCAACTTATAAGTCAGTTCCTTGGGGACTCCGCATACAACCGAGAACGCATTAATTTGGTAACAGCTACCGGTCAGCGTATACCCGTCCGTGGAGAGAAGGAGATGGAGTTGAAGCTAGGCAACGTGATCTACCTGCATAATGTCATCGTGGCTGATATAATGGACGACTGCATCCTAGGCCTAGACTTTATGAGGAATAATTGTTGTGAGATCGACGTTAAGCAAGGTGTTTTGAAATGTGGACAGGAGGAACTTTTTATGGAAGGTGCGTTACCAGGGAACGTGTACAGCATTAAGAAGACTGTTCTTCCGCCGAGATCGGAAACGATTGTTCCGGTTAGTCTTCCTCGAAACGCTGGGCAAGCTCACCGTTGTGTACTTGTGGAAAGGGTAAACAATGACCTTCCATGGAAAGTAGCTCGAACCTTGGTTAGGACCACTGACATCTCAGGAGTACGTGTGCTGAACCTTTGCGACCGGGAACAGATTATAGAAAAAGGCACACTGATTGGTACTTGTGAGGAAGTGGATTGGTTACGTCGGTGCCAATATATATCGAGTGGGACCCCCAGCAAGGATGCAGAAACGAGAGTGACCACACTTTTGGAAGACTGTCGCAGTGTTCTCTCCCCGAACGAACTGGTCAAGGCGAAGAAGTTGTTACTCAAGTACGCCGATGTATTCTCATCAAACGATGCTGACATAGGAAAGACTGGCTTAGTTCAACACAAAATAAACACAGGAGAAGAATTGCCTATCCGTCAGCGGCCAAGACGATTGCCGGTAGCACGTGAAAAGGAAGTGGAAACCATGATTGAGGGAATGGTGAAGGATGGTGTTATTGAACCTTCATCTAGTCCATGGTGTTCACCAGTGGTGCTGGTGAAGAAGAAGGATGGCAGCATGCGATTTTGTGTTGACTACCGCCGTCTGAACGACGTTACGAAGAAGGACAGCTATCCCTTGCCAAGAATTGATGACACGCTGGACATGCTTACAGGAGTAAAGTGGTTTAGCACGCTGGATCTAAAAAGTGGCTACTGGCAAGTTGAAATTGACCCTAAGGACAAGGAGAAAACTGCGTTCTCGACGGGAAAGGGTCTGTGGCAATTTAAAGTAATGCCGTTTGGGTTGTGCAATGCTCCAGCAACGTTTGAAAGGCTGATGGAACTTGTACTTACCGGGCTAATTGGCGATGCCTGTCTGGTCTACTTGGATGACATCATCATCATAGGCCGTACGTTTGAGGAACACCTTCAAAACCTGGAACGCGTGCTCATGAAGATTCAGAGTGCCAACCTCAAGTTGAGCCCGAAGAAATGTTCACTATTCCAACGGCAAGTTAACTTTTTGGGGTTTGTAGTATCGGAAGAAGGTATCCGCACAGATCCAGAGAAAATTGCCGCTGTCAAGGATTGGCCGGTTCCAAAAGACAAGACGCAGGTTAGAGCATTTTTGGGTTTGTGCTCCTATTACCGGCGATTTGTGAAGAACTTTGCAGATATAGCCAAACCTCTGCACAAGCTAACCGAGGAGAAGCGACATTTCTGCTGGGATGAAAGTTGCAATATCGCATTCTAGGAGCTCAAGGACCGTCTGTGCAAAACACCTATTTTGGGATACCCTGATGCAAGCAAAGAATTTATAGTTGACACAGACGCAAGTGATATAGGACTTCGCGGTAAGTTGTCTCAACGTAATGGTGACCAAGAGGTCGTGATAGCGTACTTCAGCAAGTCGTTGTCAAAACCGGAAAGGAACTACTGTGTCTCTGCTAGCTGTGGTAAAGTCGTTGCAGCATTTTAGCAAATATCTTCTGGGGCGAAAATTTCACTTACGAACTGACCATGCTGCACTAAAATGGCTATTGCAGTTTAAAAATCCAGAAGGACAAGTTGCGAGGTGGATTGAACTACTGCAGGAATACGACTTCGAGATCGAACATCGCAACGGGAAATCTCATGGCAACGCAGATGCATTGTCAAGAAGACCTTGTCCTGAAGATTGCAAACATTATACTAGGCAAGAGAGTAAGGAAGTGGTATCCGTGAGGATGCTCAGGGCAGACCACCTCAGCAACGAGTGGAAGGACAGCTTACAACGTGCACAGCAGGAAGATCCGGACATCAAGCCGATCCTGGAATGGATGAAGGCCAGTGCTCCCAAGCCCAAGTGGAGCGACGTCTCAGCGATGAGTTCGACCACTAAAAGCTATTGGGCCCAGTGGGACAGCTTGCTGCTTCAGGATGGAGTTCTGTGCCGTAAATGGGAAAATGTTCGGGGAGACAGCTGTCATTTACAAATGGTTGTCCCTAAAGCTAAAGTACCGGATGTTCTACAGCTGTACCATAATGATTATTCAGGAGGCCATCTGGGAGTTAAACGAACTCTACTGAAGATCCGAGAACGGTTTTACTGGGTCCACTATCGAAACGATGTCAAGGACTGGTGTCGCAAATGTACAAGTTGTGCGGCTGTAAAGGGACTCAGACTCGTAGTAGAGGTGCATTGAAGTTGTACAATGTTGGTGCACCATGGGAGAGAATAGCCATTGACGTGGCGGGGCCGTTTCCGGAGAGTGAAAGCGGTAACAGGTATTTCATGGTTGTGATGGATTACTTCACTAAGTGGCCAGAAGTCTTCGCCATTCCAAATCAAGAAGCTTCAACAGTTGCTGATAAGCTAGTTCATGAAGTCTTCTGTCGTTTTGGTGTACCTTTAGAGATTCACAGCGATCAAGGAAGGAATTTTGAGTCTCAAATATTCCAGGAAACTTGCCGAGTTATGGGTACTCATAAAACAAGAACGACTTCTTATCACCCGCAATCTGATGGAATGGTAGAAC